TAACATTTCCAAATTGCAAGAGCCTTAAAACACAACATGAGGCACTATCTGCTTGCACTATAGCCCTTATTTCCAAAGCTCTTCAAGTTATAGCTATCAACTTAATAATGCAACATCTCAGATGCCTCCAGGCCTACAAGCAATCCACATCACATGAAAAGGTCTGCTCATAACTGCTGCTTGCAGAACTAATAGCTGCTCTACCCCAAAGCACCTGCGGAGGATTACACCACTCAGAAAAGCACTGCAGCCATCTCCAAATAATTTCTCCAAGTGCTGCTTTGCAGCCAGGGTAGATTTATTTACAACAAAAATCAGCTCCTGAAAGCATCGTTGCCACCCCATTTTAATAGAACTGTAATCCCAATACCTGGCTCAGGCACTCCGCTTCAGGCCTGCAACAAGCAGCAAGAAAGGGGAGGATGCTGCCCTGGGAGGTGGGCACAGAGCAACCTCTGTCAACACCCCGAAGAAGACCTTACACTGCTCAGTGTCCCAAGCAGGAGCAGCACACAGCATTCTGCTGCCAGCAAACCCACCAACCCACAAGACCCAGCCCTGCCAGGTTCCAGGCACTCAGGTGTGTGAAGCCTTCTAGGAAAACCATTTGCCAGAAGCAGAGCTCAGCTGTGTCTCATTTTGCTGCTCTGATCTCCCAGGTTTCAGGAGTGTGTGTGGTGGCTCAGACCTGCCCCTGATGTGGGTTCCCTGTGAAGTGTCCACATCAGGTCACACTTTGGGATGAGTCTCTCCAACATCTCTCAGGCTCTGGGTGTTACCTCCACTGACCCCCACCCTGCACGCCTCACCCTGAGGTATCCCCAGGTGGCAATGAGCCTGCACAAGGGGACACAAGTTGCACTGACAGGATTGGTGGCACTGGTTATTCTTATGCACCAAACCCTGCAGATATCAGATGAACTTTCCCAGGCATCAGCCGGACACAACCTTACCCCAGGAGTTAAAGAAGCTGCTAAAGTTGGGTAAAATACGTTTACTACAAACAGTGAGCCAAGGAGGCAGGGCCACTTCTGTGTTTTCCCCTCTTCATGAGGATCTTTCACTACCTTACCATGCAGACAGTGTGCAGTGACTGGATTCCTATGACTCATCCTATGGAACAACGTACATTGATTGCATTGTGCAAATTGTGATGCCTTCACCCCAAGGGCCAGCAGCATGGTGGCCACTGCTCCAAAAGGTAAGAATCACTCACATGCAAGGAAAGCAGGGCTTTGGGAAGGAGGGAGTTTGTTTTCAGTTTCATTTCATGCATTTCAAATTGGATGTTGCTGTTTTGGGGAGATATCTGCTCACACGTAGCAAACTGAGCACCTAGCCACTGCCTCGGTGCTTGCAGCAAGCAATGCTTCATGCACTTTGTGGCTGCAGTGTGTGTAGTCTATTTGTTTTGTTTCTTTCTGACATGGGAGCACATCTGTGCCATTTTGTTCCCAGGTCTGTGTCAATGCCCAGTGTTAACTCTGGTGTCTGTCTTCAAATTTAGGACAGGTACAGAAGAGAAACAGAAGAGCGTAACACTGGAAAGAACCTGCAAAGAACCAACCCTAGAGGAAGTGACCACAGTAAATAACAGTAGGAGATGAGCCCCTTGCTACTGTTTGTCTCTAAGATTAGATGCACCCCGGCTTTCACGGCTTCACAACCAAACTCTGCTCACTGTTTCCCACTTCCTGCAAATGTATCTTGCTGCTTACCAAGAAAACCCAGGTCATCAAGTAGAGCAGAGAGTGCAAACCAACCACAGCCATGCGGGCTGTGCAGAGCTCTCCCCACAAGCACAGGGGCATAGCTGCCCTTCCACCATTGGCATTGCACACAAGAAAGCTGTCCTGGGAAGGGATGTGTGAAGTCAGGAGGGAGCAAAGGCTCTTCTCCTGGAGCCCCAATCTCCTGCTGCGTCCTCCCCAGCCCCAGGGATGAAAGCCATTGCTGTTTATGAGGGTGGGTAGTGATAGCACAAGAGGGAATGGCTTTAAACTGAGACAGGCGAGGTTTAGGTTGGATATGAGGAGGAAGTTTTTCACCCAGAGGGTGGTGAGGCACTGGCACAGGTTGCCCAAGGAGGCTGTGGATGCCCCATCCCTGCAGGCATTCAAGGCCAGGCTGGATGTGGCTCTGGGCAGCCTGGGCTGCTGGTTGGTGACCCTGCACACAGCAGGGGGTTGAAACTGGATGAGCACTGTGGTCCTTTGCAACCCAGGCCATTCCAGGATTCTATGGCTCCCAAGGACAGCGCTGCTGCTGCCTCTCACAGCCCACAGTACTGCTGAGATGGTGCAGTGTGGTGGAGGCAGAGCAGGGCTGGGCAGCAGTAAAAAGTGAACACTTTTGAGGAAGCGACAGACTGAGGCTGCGGGGGGGAGCAGAGCGTACGAGTTCACACATCGCACAGAGTCGGAAGTCTTTTGTTTGTTTCTTCTCATTCAAGAGCTGAGATGAAAGTGAAGGAAGGCAACGTGGAACCCAAGCAAAGGCTGTGAGATCACAGCAGAAAGGCCTGGAAGGCATCACAGCACCTGAGCTGCTGTAGACGTGAGGAGCAGCAGTGCTGCCTGTACCATCACAGGTGCCACTCTCTACCCTTCGGACCAAATGTTGGTTTTCCCCTCTCAGATGATCAGATAGGAGATGCTTGTTCACTGTAATCAGAACACAGCAGTTTCTAACACAGAAGATAACATCCTTTGCTGAGCCTACAGCGCTGAGTGTTTGTGCTTTAGGTGATGCCTAATCTGCACGGAGGGCTGCAGTATTGCTTGGCAACACACCACATGCCCACACAGCTGTACTGAGGCCATGGTTTAAGAAACCACATGCTCACAGTGGATGTGGATTACCAGCAAGGTCTGGGGATGGCTGCTCTTCTTATGAGTACAAAAGCAGTTATAAGAGACCATGGCTCCATGACAATTCACATGGTATCTGCTTCCATCAGTACCTAAAGACCACATCAGTGAGTACAGGCAGGGCCTGAAGAGCTCTGAAAGATCCCAAAGCATAAATATCTGTGCCAAATACTCAGACCCTACAAAATAAAGCAGAGTCAGCAACGTGTCAGAAGATTCAGTCCAAACCAAACCTTTAAGAATCTATCATTGTCACAGCAGTGAAACATTACAGAAATTCCGTCTCTGAGTTCCAGCATAAGAATTCTAAGTCTAAAGACTACTATTTGAGCTCCATTTTAGGCTTACCATCATATTCTGTTCAGCCTGATACAAGACAGAACAGGGAATATAATCTGACAAACTGCACAAACACGCCTGGGAGGTTATGGAATGCCCCCAAGTCACATGTGCTCTTCTCCCTGAAATAAGCATTATGCTTCAGCTCATAATAGCAGTAAGCATAACTTGAGTACAGCACAATAAGCAGTTTTAGTGTTCAAGCAGTTCTGCATCCCCACTTACTGCATCCACTTCAGGAATGGCCTCACTCAAATTGGAGGACAAAAAAGAAGCTTTTCCTTAGAGAAAACAAGCAAAAAAAAAATCAGTGTTAAAGGTTCAGTGTGATATAACTCTGCTAACAACAGCATTCCCAAGCCAACACCACAATTTGAGGAGGATGTACAGGTTTTGGGCTGGAGGCCTGATGTGAACTTCAGCTGTCAACATGGTATGTTGACAGAAAGCCTAAGTAGATTCTTTTTCCTCCCCACAGAATCAAAGTGGTCCAACTAGAAATTGGGGGCTTGGCTCTCCGTCAGTTCTTCACATCTGCAAGGCAGTCATGTTGAATGCCTTGTAATAAAGCAAAGCTCCTTGTTCCCCACGTTTATGCTGCGCTGAGACATTTTAGTAGGAAAAAGCAGAGGTCAGAAATGAAATATTCTGAGCAGCCTGCCAACAACCACAGCATTCATGGCAGGCAAAGGAGTGCTGTGAAATTAGGCAGCAACTACTAAACTCTGCCCTGCAGAAACAATTGCTCGGCTTCACTGAGCCTGGAGCAGGTAAAGGGGGATGGTCTAGGAGACTGGCACTGCCTGAGAGCTGCTTTAAGTGTTACCTTCTAGCTCTCTCCATACTTTTTCCACTCTATATTGTGGAGAGGAACCCAGTGTTCATTATGTTTGACTTCAGGACTGACTGAAGGTCTCAGTTTGATTGAAGCATCTTCTAATTACAAGCCTGTCTCATATGTTGGGATCTTAACAACTGCCAGATCAAGTGCTCCCATAGGGAAAAACAGTCAGCATTACATCAGTGACAGTTACTCTTACAATCAAGGACGGTCACAACTGCTTGGAAAGGGCATCAAGTTTTCCTGAAAGCCCCTCACAAGTAACATTGGGCAGGGCTTCTGATAATGACTGTGATACTGAGATCACTCTGCACACTGGCCATTAGTGTGCAGCCTGCCTGCTCTCACAGTACAGTTTCAAAACAAATTAATCTTTCCAACTTCAGTAGAAGATGCAAGAATTGTGTCATGCTCCAACCTTTAGCATCATCCAAAGCCATGTTGTTTTTCTAAAAGAAAGGGTAACGAAGAAACAGACCCTCAGAAAAGGAGGAAATAGAGGCCCCCTGTTCCCTAAACCCAGTACTGATATCCATCATGGACACAAAAATTTTTGAAAGAACATTTATTTCAAAACTCCTGATCCATAGAAATACAATAAAATTAACACATACACAAAACTTAAAAACTTTGGTTTGAAGAAATATTTAACATCTAAAACTTCTGAGGTACAAAAGGCACAAGACCAGGCACCCGAGCATTCTGGATCACCCACAACATCATTTGCATCATTACTAAAGAGAACACTGAGGGTGGAAGACCACTAAAATGATGAACACGGCAGGGGAAAAGGAAGGTGGAGACAAATGACAGCAACTAAGACAAGAGATGTGTACAAAGCCATTTACTTTCACTCACAGGTGTTACATTTGTCTTTTTGTGACAAGTGCCAGGACTCTTGGGGGGGGGGGGGGGGAAAAAAAATTGAGAAATTTTTTAAAAAAAAATGGAAAAAAAAACAGTAGAAAAAGAGACAAAGAAACAAAGGTCTGCAGCAGGCTGGATATCAGTCAACCTCTGTTCTCCCACAAGGTCGTAAGAATTCATTTCCTCTTTCATGAAACCATTTGTTCGAAACTGTGGAACAAAGACATGGAATTAGTTACCACCATGCACCCAGTCTCTGTGCAGCAATGCAACCCAGACTCTTCTTTCCATTGAGGTCTTATACTTCTCCACCCACCCAACAGGAAACAAAGATTCACAGGGCCAGGAAGATGATTTCCAGTTGCACAGTTGGCCAACAGTAACAAGGCAGTGTATTTTGGATCTGGTGTTATTACAGGTCGTTGTGCTCTGACACTCAGAACACCACAGAGGAGATGGGAGGTGGGTTCAGAAATGGATGACAGGAGACATAAGCTACTTCCAGCAGATAACACAACTTCCCAGTGGCCAGGCAGCCAAAGCAGGGAGTACAGACTATGGGCATCCAAGGCAAGAGGGAGCATTTGTCTCCAATGAGCCATGCAATCAGGTTTGCCTGCCTCCAGAAAGCACAGATCCATCTGATCAGATAACACGGTCAGAAAAGATGTTTTTGGGAAAACTGAAGGGGGATGGTGGTACAGGAAAAAAACCTGAGGACATGCAGGTGATCTTTTAAGTTCCCTTCCAACCCAAATCGTTTTACAGCTGACCTATACCACACAAGGCCATTCTTACATGCTCTGCAACATTATTGCCACAAAAGCTCTCTCCAGAGACAGCTGAGCAGTGTAGCTGCTTCATGCTACATACTGAGATGCCAGCTTTCATTATTGCCAAATGACTCCAGCATTTAAAATGGCAATACTCGGGTTATTAAACGCTGCTATAATGGTTCAGTATAACACCATCTTTGTATACACCAAAGGTTTTGTTCCTAGAGGAGTTTTACTTACCCCATTTACACCCTACTAGCACTGGACAAGCTGCATGCCTTGTTCTATAATCACCCTCACCACTTCTGAATAGGTTGTACCAAAACACTGCTGTTCCCTGCAGAAAAGATACCAGATGTGGATTAGCCAGAACCCAGCCAACATGTTGAAGTCATTGACACGAGGAAGAGGGATAATGCCCAGGAACCCAATTGCAAGCTCTTATGAAACACTTCAGCATAGGTCACAAACAGCAGCACATGGAAAAGACCACTTGCTCTCAACTCTAATTCAGCTGTGTTCAGGGACTGAAAACAAGATTTAATAACAGCTCTACATTGAAACCATTCCCACTATAAACTCTAAGCATCAAGCAAGCTGCACGGGCACATTGACTGACTTAGATACAAGACCAATGAGAAAAGACAGTAGATGGAGAGGGGAGATGAGAAGCAGCCATACAGAGTGACTTTACCTTCTTGGGCCATATGGCTGCCCCAAAATCTGGGAAAACTGTAGCTCCTCCAGCTTCCACATCACTCATCTAATAAAACAAAGTGAGAAAACAAAGTCAAACCAATCATTTACAGCACCTTTTGTACAAATGGCTCCCCAAGTTCAAGCACCCCTTGTCCTAACACAACTCGCACCTCTGTGACTTGCAGTAACAAAGAAGAGATGGATTTCAACCAGCATGAATTGCTAAGCTGCTTATTGAAGGCTGTTACTTCAGCTGAAGGCTTTTATTCATATGTAAGCTTGATGAAGAGCTGATCTACAAGTACATATTACACAAATTAGCCATAAAAAAAAACTGAACCTGCAGCATTAATAAGGCAGTACTCCAAAACAGGGGAGAAGACTTCAGAGTAAGTTAGCTTCAGAATTTCATTCTGGTTTATGATTCAATTAGAAAAATAAGTGCCTGTTAAACCACATTTCCTCAAACTGAAACCGTGTCCTTGGAACTCATTTTCATAATTTAGTTTAGCATCCTGGTCAACCACTTCAAAAAAAACAAACAATGCAAGTGGAAGACCTCAGTTTTCTGCACAATTTCTTTGCTGTTCCCCAATAGTTCTATTCTACTTCAAGTGCCTTAATAATACATACACCAACAAGGCTCTAAAGAAATGCTTACATCTTTATGCTCTGCTGTTCTACACTGGAATGAACTACTGAATTTGTTAACAAAGATGGATTCACTTTAAGCCCTACAGATGTGACTCAAAACCCAAAGTCCCCAGAAACACTTTCATTAAACTAAGTAATATTTTCACTGATCTCAGTAAGTTTTTGATCAGGAACTAAAGGAGAGAAACAAATTAGTCACATCCATTTCCCACAAAGTGCAAACAATCAAAAACAATCCCCACATTCTTCACTGCAACTAGGATTTCTGTTATGTTGTTATTACCACTCTGGTGTCTTCCTGCTTGGTACCTACAATAAAAGGGCACAAGATGCCATAGGAGCACAGTGCTTTGCCCCTTCCAGCTAGAAAGCTTGTGCATGCAACTCTGCAAGTTAACACCTACACCTTAACAACAAACTCTTTAGTGGAGACATCAGAACATGTTTGATATGTTCTGCATGGGACACACAAAAGGTGAAATGCCTTTGACCGTGTACAGCCAGCAGAGAATAAGATGCATGTTATTCACTGTAAGAATCAAGGTTTGTGCAGGAATCCCAATTCTGTTCACACAGGACAGCACCTGATGCTGCAGGAGCTGAAGACACTCCTTCCAAACACCCACAAACCTCTACAAACAACTGCGCCCGCTGCAAACAAAGCATCACTGAGTTACACCCAATTCACAAAGGAGCATCATACTTACATAGTTTAAAAAAGTGGCCACACGATTTCCAGTCCCTAACCGCTTGAAAGCATCTGGCTCATCTTTCTATAAAATTAAATGAGAATAACTGCAAACTTCAAGCTCACAGACAGCAGACAAACAAAGGTACTTACATAGTTAAGAAACGTCGCTAGCCTATTTCCTTCCGATTTGAGAGTGCTGTCAAAGGGTCGCTGTAACAGACAACAACTTTAACCTCTCATTCTGAATGGGCTCACACTAGAGTTACATATGCAGCTCTGCACGAAGAGCCTCAGGCTCAAAGAGCTGGAATTAAGAGGGGATTCACAGGGCAGCACTAAAGCCAGCACAAATTGCAGCCACAGTGCATAGATGCATGCACGTTGCACTCCGGTGCTAGAAGTAGCACGCAAGTAATTCTCAGGGCATTAGAGTAGAAGCAATGCTTTCAGGTGGTATTAAGTAACCAACAGGCTGTTATTGTGGTGGACACTGGTCTAAAGTCAACAACTGAGGTTATGAAAAACTCAGCTTGAACAGCATTTAGGTGAGATAGATAAGCATTTAGATTCTCAATGTGTGATCTCAGAGAAACGTCATAAGAAAATCTATTTACTTCTAACAGCAACAAATTAGAATAACAGTAATTCATCTCAATTGGTTGTCTATCTAGAGTTGAGGACTGTATCAAGAAGACCAAGTGTTGTGAGTTTCATTTGTTGAAGTACGAGATCATACAAACACCAGTTTATAAGCAGAAAACACCCAGAAGCCCAGGGCAGCTGAAGGGCACAGAGGAAAAATGCAGTTAGAGGTTTGTATGTATTGCTTATTATCGACAAGATTCAGCCAAGTAATGTTAAGATGAATTCTTCAATACAAAAATAATCTTCAACACTCAAAAAAAAAAATGCAGAAACCAGCATTAGGAAAAGACAAGCAGCAAGAAAAACTCTGAGATGGTGTAGTTCAATCTACTTGGTTATTTCAACGAGACATCTTTCCTGAAATGGGTTCACACTAAGAACTACATGCCTGCATCAGTACATGCAAATTCAATCTAATAGCCAACATTGAAGCTCAGATAAGGAGTTCCCCTGTTTCCAAGACCTCTAAGGCCAAACTCAGGTCCAGCCATGCATTTCTGAGCTTCAATACATAAGATTCTTCTTGTAACTTTTGAGTACCCAACACGATCTGGAAGTTGAAATACTTAAGTATTAAAGCTTCCCCATCTGAGAGCTGTAAGGGAACAAAAAGCTGTGAGGCTGATCAGACAGTGAGAGAGCAATGTCTCTGCATTCCAGTACTGGAATCTGTGACGCACAGAGCCTGGCAGACCAGCCCAAGCCCACGGCAAACTCCCCAATTGCCCTGCTTTAACTGATGACTGCAGCCAAGGCTATGTTCCAAATGGAGCTCTGTCCCAGCTGCCTAATCCAAAAGTAAAGACCATAACGACCAAATTGATATCTGAGGTCCTTGAGTTCAAAGGCTTTGAAGAGAATTTAAGAGCATTGACTTCACTCTGGAAACAAAGCAGTCTTAAAGTTGACAGAGAAATTCTCTCAACAGGCCAAAGCCAACGAGTAGGAGCTTCCACAGTGCTGGGGATTAAGATTATTTATGAACAGCATTCAGTAGGGCCCCTTCAGTGCTGTTCTCAATTATTGGGTTATCCTCTGGCTGCAGCAATCCATTCTTTCTATCAGGTAAAAACACTGGAATAGTTTGAATTAAGATGGATTCGATTGGAGAGGATTCTACCTGAAACCAAGGCATCACAGATGGATTTTGTATTTGTGACAACTAGTCATCACAGCTCTTCAGCTGTGTTGTCATCACAGCTATTCATGTACCAAGGCAACTGCAAAGAAGAGTTTGTCTTCTCCCCTCTCACTGCTAACCTGAGCTCTCTCTTACCAGGTAGAGCCCTCTAGTGCCTGGTATACACCCAACAAGTGCCAGTGATAAGTTTCCCTGCTGTCACCACAGCACTGGCATCCTGGACAGGGGTGACAAAACTCTGCTGACCCCCTATAGCTGCAATCACAAATGTTTTAAAGGCTTTTATCAGAAGGGTTCCAACTCAAAGACTTCCATACATGCTGCTTTTTTGGAGGGACATGTCCTGCTCAGCCAAAGTACTTTAAAATACCTAAAAGAGGACTGACAACCTTGCTAAATTTATAAACCCAATGGAACAACTCAATCTCCATCCAGAGCTGAGTTCCCTAGCAGGGTAACAGAAGGAGTACATATAAGAACAGTAGGACTATCTCTCAATATCTCTACATCGTGCAAGGAACCAAAGGGACAAAAGCAGGCAGTCAGATTTGTTCATTGGTCTCTTGAACTTCCAGCACCAGAGAAAGGAGTGAGAGTTTTCCAGAGGTCATAATCCATTCCATGCAACTGGGCTAAACTGCTTTTTATTAGAAAAGACATTTTAATAAGGGTTTCAACAGTTCCCAAAATGATCTGTTCCCACCCTCAGCCCGTACCCAAGGAGTAATTGAAAAGTAATCTTACCCTAGAAAAATCGAAGTGTGGCTCATACTGCCCTCCCATTCCATAATTAGCAACCTACAGAAGAACAAAGCAAAATATTGGTACACAGTGAACTGCACGACTGCTGCATAAGATAACTCTCAAAGATCCAAAACACCCTTTGAGAAATGGTGCTCTGTGGCAAGATTGCTATCTGCTTAACAGATATCCACTCAACTCCTTTTTCTTCAGATTGCCAGTAATGAGGTGTGCAGACAAGCATTGAGAGCTCCCTCCCTTCCAGCTTAAGGGCTCCACTGAGAATTTCTCAGTACTGACGTTTCTTAACAGCAGCACTCTTTGCTTATCACCACAACAACCTGATAAACATGAACATGCAGCAACAGTTGCTATCACACTTACTCCCTCCTCCTCCGAAGAGGCAGAATCTGAGCATGGGTGTTTCTCTAGTACACGTCTGATCTAGGAGACGGTGCTGCTCATGACCTTACTCACCCACTCACCAGGAACCCGTGTGTTCAGTTAACAGAATGCCTAGGAGGAGCTGGTCAAGAGCAATGCTGATATTTGTTTCTGCATTAATACCACCCCACCAAAGAGCTACTTGTCGGATCTCATCCTGCTAAGGTGAAAGTGCACCAACCTGCAACAGCTCAGCTGTTTTCACTGTCAGCCCCGTGATCTGCTGCATTCGTTGGTTCACCTTAGCCACGACAGGATCATCATCTTCCTCCAACCATGAACTAGGGCAAGAGAAGGGAATAGGAAGCAGCGAAACATTGTTTTAGAATACAAAGCCCCAAACCACCAGCTTCCCAAAAGAGAAGGATTTCTTCTACCCCAAATTACACAGATGAGCCATTTACCATGCACTTGTTGTGCAAGCTTTTGCTGCATGCAAAGCATTTCTAGTTCTCCAATGGAGGTAGCACACAAGGGCTGTTAAGCACAGAAAACTTAAGGCTGAACTCTTCTCTAGGCTTACCTTTTTGATACCCTGTAGCTAGCCACTGTAAGGACACCGGTTTTGGGATCACGAACTGTGGCTCGTGCCAGCTGTGCCAAAAAATCCCAAACAGGAAGAAACATCAACTACAGATCAAAAAACAGACTTCAAGCCTAACAAAACCAGCAGCTGCTTTATCAAATTTCAGTGTATCACAGCATGAAAGTTAAACTCCGACCTAGAGTTTGTCCCAGACTCAGGCTAGAACAGTACACAGAAAAACGCAAATGCAATCCATCACCTGCAGCTGATTCTAGAGAAAGCAATTGACTGCAAAAGCCATGATATCCATTAAATGCACAAGTAGTGCTAACTGAGGTACCTTATAAAAAAGGCTTCTTAAACAGCTGGAGTCCATATTAACAAGATGGAACAACAACAAAGTCAACATATGAAGCTTATGTTCTTGGCAGAAAGAATTGTTGGATGCTGCATACATTTAATCGGCCCTCTCTTCATGTGGACTGGAAAAAGCTCACTCTTAGATTTAAATACAGATGAAAACATTTGCAAAATGAATTACAAATTACAGGGCAGACAAATCCACTTGTCCTGAGGACAAGATTCAATATTACTTAGATTTTCCCAGTTGGAAAAGGCCTGCAACATCTGCTCTCAGTGACAGATACTTTTATAGCAGCTTACCTATGCATTTTGCACAGCAAATAATGCATCACTGTTAGGCCACATCACACAGTTAGTATATAGGAGGAGTCTGGAACCTTGCAGAACTGAGCAGATCCACTGTGGCAGCAAAGCAACAGCCCGCTGCTTGCTTAACAGGCAACTTGGGTCTCGTACTCCAACTGAGAACAAGAACTGGGACACTCATTTGTCTGACTGCAAAGTCAAACCACATTTAAATTTAACTCCTGAAAACCACAAACACTTAAAATCGTGCCTTCTTCCTTCCACTTAATTACAGGCCCCAGAAAGCCTTTTTATTTGCGTTTTCTTCCCAGTAGGCAGCTATTTCCTTCATTTCTCCTCAAATAAGCCTCCAGCCAGTTTTACAACCCTCGTCTCGTCCCTGTGCGAGAGCTCTTGGCACATCTGCTCATCTAATTCTGACTCAGTTATTCTGCTCCAGATTTCTCCTGTGAAAATCACAGCAGAATAAGCAGGCTGACAATGTTGTTCTTCCCTGTGCAACGAAGCACAGCTTCAGGGATGCAATTTAGCTTTCTAAACTTTCTATTACGCTGCTACTTGAGCTTGCACATGCCTGCTTGATTTCTGCCCTTTGCATTTAGATCTAGTGGCATATCTTGGCCTTTCCAGGCTCCCATACCAACAAAGTTAAGAGTTTTGGAGACCTTTTCCAGCACTGAACAGCTGACACAGCCAGCTCTGATGCATTGCCTGTCGAGTTGGAACTACTTTTTAGAACTGGAGTAAAAGCAATTGCATTTTGCAAAATAATAACGAAAACCAACTTGATTATCACATACAGATGTTGTTTCTCTACAAAACAAGAAATACTGGCAAGCATAAGCTGCAGATAATATTAAGTGTTTAGACCCTGAAGTAAAAGCTCCTTGCAAATACAAGGAAATATTCATCCTTCCGAGCCCAAAACTAACACAGCGCTTCAGTTTGTCTCAAAGCTTCCATGACTACTAACTGAATTTTCCTGACTGAAATTAAGCTACATTAACGCTATCTCATCACAAGACTTGCATTTTCCAGTGTTTCAGTAGTACTGCAGAACTCAAAGCTATTCTTCCTACAGAACAGTCAGACAGATTTGAGTAATAAGTTAAGAGAAATTTTCTTGTAATTAAAGAAGCCCGAATCTTAAGATGACAGTATTTACCTCCTGTTGTACTGATCCTCATCCTACAGCTGCGTAGGTAACATGAAGAATTCCTTTCACATTATTGACATAAGCAAAACTTAGCAAGTCTTAATATTTTCCATCATTAAAGCTTTGAACAAAAGCTGTAAAACTGGAAAAAAAAAAAATCTAATAGCTGCCCTATTTAGAAGGTGCTTGATTTCATAAAGTAGATTTAATGATTCAATCTTTCAGTGTTTCTGTTTTATCTGAGGCTCAAAGTTTTACAGTATGACATAATAGGAAAAGTCTGTTTGTAGAGCTGAGAATCCTCTTTGAGAGGGAAGTGTTGTGCCAGCACTCCCACAGCTAGCCAGTACTCACAAGCCCAGAATAACAAATAACTCTGGGTGTTTGAGGAACTGGTGCTTCTTCAGACCACGTAAACATCAGTAGGTACTAATGTTTACAGTTAGAAATGCACGAAGGCAATCTTTGAGTGGAATCTTATCACCACAGTTGTCAGCAGGAGCTACAGAAGTGCTGGAAGGAACCAATCCTATACAATTCTACTTTCCTGTGAGACCTGGCAAGCACAGAAGGTGGAGCATCTATTGCTGATCTCACATTGCCAGAAAGGAAACAGACTGATAACCTCACCTTTAGGGAAGTCAGATAGAATCACTAACTTTGTGGGGTTATTTTTGTGTGCACTCACATCACAGGTTAAAGGTACTGCAATTCAGGTCAGCCTCATTTCAAGAAGGTGACTGAAGCTATGTTAGGCCAGGCAGGCAGTCATCTACCTTTCCAGCTCCAGCCCTTATGTACTAAGGAATTTTGCACATTTAAACACAACATTGCACAAACCCCTTCATGAGCCTGGGATTTAGGGTCCTACATCACCAGGCAGTTTTGAAACTGTTCCCCTTAGCTTCACAGTGTATTATCCATACTACGAAACCATTCTCTCAAATCCTTTGCCCAGCCTTTGCTTGTAGATCAAAACAAGCAATTAGCAGTCCATGAGATGAAGGGAAACTCACCCTTGGTTTCGCCAGTTGTTTAATTTTCTCAATTTCCTCATCAGACATGACATCATAATAGCGTACAATATGAGGGCTATCCCATTCATCTTCTTCTTTGAAGGGAGCTATGAGCAGATGGGGGTTTCTGTTTCCATTGTGGTACCTACAGAACAGCCTTTTCTGCCTCCGAGGTGTCTGAAACAAGGCACCAAGTAAAATGCATTGTTTGCTCAACCATTATTCATAATCTTAGAAACAGGAAAAGAGTGTGTCTTATTTCATAAGCACTAGCAAGAGCAGTCAGCACACAGCTAGTGTCAGAGGTAAGCAGCAGCAATGCTGATATTTATTGTGAATGAAAACACGCTGCTCCAGATGCCACTAAGAAGATCTGGAAGAACTAATCTCTCAGTTAAATCCCAATAGGCTATAAATTCAGATTCAATAAATAAAGTTTGGCTGTAAGAAATGCCTGGCTCTTATAATTTCAGCTGCGCAGAGAAACAAATGGATTTCTTCCTGCACTAAAAATATTTGAAGTGCCAAAGACTGGCAGGTCAGTACAGTCACCCCCAGAAGCACCCATCAAGATGCACAAAATGTGATGCCATAACAGTGGCAAAATGTAACTAGTTCTCAGTCGAAAAAGCCTCCTATTGTACCAAAACAGCCAGCACCTGAAATGATTGGATAGACAGACTGTCAGGAGACTCAATTCTCAACAACCTTTAAGAAGAACAAGCTGAGAGCTGTTCTGTACAGAATTAATGGGTTAAGACAGAGGCTGAGGCATAAGTGCATGTCTCAGACTGTACAATTATACTCAGTTTTTCTTGCACAGCTTTACATGTGAGCCAACTTGACCATCCTTATGCAAAGGCAGCGCAGTCGGAAAAGCTCTGCCTTTCTCTTACCATTTTCACCCCTTCACCTCTGCAGAGGGCCTCATAGATATCACGCTCTGGCAGGTAGTCAAGAGGTCTCTCATAGGCACCACTCTGCACCACGGGTTCCGTTGTGGCCACTGTCTTGTTTGAGGACTTCTCTCTCTCCTTCTCCAGCAGCTTCTCAAAGTACCGCAGATTGCTGCCTGCTCTCTCATGAGTGCTGTCTTCATTGGGACAAAACAGACAGAACCAGTAACTCATACAGTCTCATGAATTGTTAATGCAAGGAAGAGTTTGCATCAAGATTCAGCAATAATTCTCTCCTTCCTAGAGCACCATCAAGCAACCAAGTGCTCTGGCTCCTGTTTGTCTCTGCAGAGGGAAGCTGGCATCCTTCTGCAGTAATTTCTGAAAGGATCCATCACAAAACATCCAATCTGAGTGGAAGGAGGTTTTGGTGATCCCAATTCTCCTGCACTTCAAATACTGTCTGCCTAGTTCCACCCAGGGGAAACAGACCACAAGAGATCAAGCTAGGCTACTTGCAGCACCCTTCACCCTGCCTCTCATCTGCAGTGCACAAGCAGGCTTCAGCCCAGTACCTCAGTGGAACCCCAGCCACAAACTTCAGTCTCAAACACTTCCTGTGAAGTCTGGAAGCTCAGAAGTTAAGCACTGCCATTTACCAGCTTACCTACAGCATCCATTCTTTCATGCCTATGCCAGAGGTATGCTGGAACACTTTAGACCTATCAGTGATTACTGCTGTTGCTATGAACTAGTAAATATCAATAGATGACTTTAATCACCTATCATAGTTACACTATAGAAGGAAGTCCCAGTTTACAACTACGTGTCTCTGGACATGCACCTACAACACTTTTTTGCTTTTGACCTTCCCAAGCTCATTGTGTCTCTTATTCAGCTAACCCAGATGGTCACTGGAGTAACCACCCCTTAAAGCACAGGCTGATATTGGCTAGATAAAGGTTAGCCCAGAGTAGAGGAGGCTCCCACAAGAGACTCTCAAATCTGTTCCACTCTGATGCTGATGTGCACTGTGCTATCAGTGCTATGCATTCCTGCAGAAGGAACTAGATTCACTACAGTCATTCTGTAAACTTCAATCTAGGAATCTCAATGTCTGCAGAAGTTATTCATCTTTCCCATTCTTCTCCCTGCTAATAAAACAGCTTCACTCACTCTCAGATGCTGCCAGCATCTAGATTAAGAATAACAGTGATTTAAAAACCATACAAATGTTTCAGTCAGAAGATGTTAATTGGAGATAATAAACTTCCTCAACACAAGTAGAGCTGTATTTAAAGGAATGCCTATTTGCTCACTCAAAAGAAACCTAGAAACAGAGAACAGATAAAACCAGGTCTCAGGAAATTCCATCTATGATCTGACTGCTCAGAGAAATACACTGAGATCTCAGGCAAAGAAACTACCTAACAAAGAGCATTTGCACAGAAAAATGTCAAGAAATATTAAAATGTCAGTAGGTTTTGACAGCAGAGGTAGAACTCTGCTGAGCCCATTGGCAGCCTTAATCCCTACTGGAATCCTTAAGCTCAGGCATTAACCATTACCAGACACATCACAGTACACCAGAAAATACAGTGGTCAGACAGACATTTAGGTAATAACAGCACGGCCTATAGGATGGCTTGCTGAAGATGTTCCATGCACAAGTAGACTTTTCTCCATAACTTCTATTTGTTTACAGGTCATCTGGCAGGAAATCCTTCCAGTCAGCTCACCCATAAATATGGGCTGCTCTTGTCTGTTACTGGCAATGCTCTTACCAAGGGATATCAGACGCCTTGTGAGCTCCATGGCTCTGTGCAAGTCCCCAAACTGGAAGACAGCATAGCTGAGATAATCCAGGATCTCCACTTTGCTGACTGTAGTATCCTCCCCCTCGTCGTGCTGTTTTAAGGCTTGCTCCATCCAGAGCACTGTGTGATAGTAGTCACCATCATTGTAAGCAGTCTTGCCCATACCAAAGCAGTCACTCACTGTCAAAGACGACCTATATTTTGTTCCTAATAACAAAAAAAGATCTTTAAGCAACCTGCACAGAAGCATCCTTGCCCTCGCATGTGGAGGCACACTGAGAAATGTCAGTAAATACACAAATTTATAATAAAAAACATCTTTTGAAGAATGCACTAACAATGATTTACATTCCATACTAAACTGGTCACCCTCAGGAGTCAAAAATTACATTCCATCATCATTGTAGCATTCATCTGTTTGGGAACCAAGAAAAGTTTAACAAGTTTCTCATAAGCTGTTCTGCCTTCTGCTGTAGACAAAGGAAGAATGGACTAAAAGCTCAGCAGACTTGACAGACACTAAGGTGACACTGTTAGATTATCAGAGATGTCTGGCTACACGGCACACTGCCTCGTTTGCTCTTGAGGTGTACATTTGTGCACAAGCAGCTGATTGTTATTTAGGCAAACTAGGTTCAATTGTGTACAGATTTCCTGTTGCTCCAGATCAGGTGCACAGATATGGCTTCATTTTCAGTTCACTGTTTGTGACCTACATTTAACTAAAGCTATTTTGTGAACTCAACTACCAACACTAACAAAGTCCAGGCAATTTGTAAGCAGCGCTACTGAAACAGCACCCTTGCTAGCACATCTCTTACAAATACCCACAGGGACTCCTGAGAGAACAGTGGCACATCACAATATGTTTATCTACTCTCAAAAATAACTTTGTGGCAAATATTGTTAGTCTTTATTCCATAGATGAAGAACAAGAGGGCAAGAAGAGAACCACGCTTTGCAAAAAGCCACGAGAGCAGTGAATTAGGGAGCATCGCCTCTGCTCAGCTCTTCATTTCCCAGGGAAACAACCGTGCCATTTGCCAACACAGCTACCAGCACAAGCAGCTTCCTAGCTTTGGTACTGAGACCACAGAAAAAGCCAGAACAGATTTCCCCTTAAATTAATAGAAATAAAAACTGTGCCACTTGTCAGTGTGGATCCCTGGCTTGGATAGAAAAAAACCTCATTCTCAGAACATTACAGCAAATGCAACCTCTACTGCTTGAGCCATACGATTTCAGAACCACAGGCCTTTATTTCCACACAAAACGGACTTTTGGAGAGTTTGAGGGTGTTACTGTTTGCATCTCTTTATAGCAGATGAGACCATTGTGCACTTGCCTGGCAAGTTCCCTCTAGAGAGAGTTTCAGGGTCCAGTTTGTATGTGTCCTGCAGGCGCATCAGAGCCTTGGCAGCCCCCGTCTCATCTTCTTCAGTTGGAAAAAACTGACGCTGAATCGTGAGATTTGTGATAAAGCCTTCATAGCAAAAGGAGAACAAAAGGAAAAGCTGTTACTTTGACTGTTTGAATAAGTGCAGCACCAGATCAACACAGAACACATCTGCTTTGTTTCTGAATTCCAGGATTCAAATTAACTAGATTTGAAACCTCTCATTAGGCTCTCCATTTATACAGGCATTGCTTTCTGTCCAATTATAAGAAACAGAGTTAACAAGCAAATGACAAGAGAAATAACCATCAATACATTCACTTGCACGACATAATTACTGGCATACATTGACAGAAAGTCCTTTGCCAATTCAGAACAGATCTCATTTTGATTCTTATTTACTGACCAACATGGCCAAAGTGACTGCTCATAGATTGAGAAGTGATGCAGCAGATTGGGAAGTAAGATGAGTAAGCTGTTACACAGAGGAATATAGAATTCAAGACAAGATATAAAACAGCTGATAACTGCTGGCCACTTCAGGACATCCTATTCTCCTCTTTGCTGCAAACTACACAAGCAAACCAAATGTAATGTGCCTATGACAAGTAACAGCTTTGAGTCTTGACTCAGCAGCAAGTTTCCCCTCTTGGGTACCCAGTAAGCAAGAGCCCAGTCATTAGTTTAAGTTCCAAACCAAATTAGCAACGGTATTTAAGCCACAGCTGAGCCTGCAGCTTCCAGAACAAAAGGGGAAGCAACGCTGCTGTAGGGGGACCTCCCACCAACACCTTCCCTGCAGCTCCTCACCATTTGTTGTATCCTGAAGAACCAGGTTTTCTAATTCCAGCCAATCAGTATTTAAACGCTTCACCAGCTTGTAAGCGTTCACAGGGTGGGCCAGGTACCCCTCTGGATCCGAAGTGGATTTGCTCGTCAGCACATCCATTTTCTCAGCCCAGCTGGAAAGAGAGAATGGTATTCCTCAGCCTGAGAACAATTTCTGAATGCATATCTTCCTTCTGAAGTCATCCTAATTACACAGCTGGAACCAACTGGCTGCTTTTGCTACCGTAACCAGATGTAAGGCTTTTAACTTCACCAGATGAAGGGAGGTTCATTGACATATATGTTTTTAATCACATTATGCTCTTTTCAAAGAGATTTATTTCCCTGCCTATTAATTTAAATCTCAGTAGGCATTCATCTCCCCTGCAATGAGTCTTAGCCATCCGTTTTCAACACATTGCACTTCAGCAAATAATAAAAAGCATCACTTATCTATCTCAGAAATGTGCAAATCCCTATCATCCCTTGTGACAAGCGTTTGACCAACCTCTCTCCAGTACCCAGTATGAAAAAAGCTTTGAGGTAAGCTAATAACTGAACATTAGAAATCCCCTTTGGGTCTAACCCCAAGCCATGACTGAACCATGGCTGTAAGCAGCTCAGTACAGCCATTGGCACAAGCTGCCAGGCTGCCTTATTCTGCGTATCACAATGTTGCAACAAAGCAAGATGAGAACCCTTAGCAGAGATGGCAGATTAGTGACACCTTGAGATGTCTCACATCTCTTAACAAAATCAGCTTTCACTGCATCCAGTGCTTATTTTGCAAAGTAGTAATAAGGTGAAGTTTTACTCTCTGTTCACAGCGGTGTTTTGAATCAAACATCTCTATGCATAGAAAGCAATTGTGAGAAATGCCACCATATTCAAGTGATGAAATTCAGCATGTTACAAAGCATATCCCTCAGACTAGAGCTCAACTGTTGTGACAGCTGAAATATCCTCTTGCTTACCAATATAGGAAAAAGTCAACTGCAAATTCAGCGCATGCAAAGAGAAATCTGACATATGCAGATGATTTTTGTTGCTTTAGAAGTATTATACATAGCTTGGAATCTAAACATACTTGAACAGGAGACAGTTTTTTCTTCAGAAGGGCAACTTTTCAAGAAATAAATATTTGTGTGTACAAAAGTGACGAGAAATTTGGCTCATTTCACTGTTTCATAACCCTATCCCCACCCAACAATCCCAAAGGGAGATCAAGCTGCCAGATACCATCTGGAGTTCAGAAAGTCCTTGGAAAGCATGGCTCCAGTTACAGGCACACAGCTCTTACCAACCCAGACCTCAGACCATCCTGGTGTCATGCCCTGTTAGGTACAACTTGCAGCTAGGTAAGTATTAACAGCCTAGCTGAGGAGAAGTGTGTTGTCAGCAAGAGCTTTAACTGATTTGAGGCACCAGGACAATAGGAGCTGTGTGCTGCTTACAACAGGTAGCCCAGAGCAACAGCATCTACAGACATTTAGCTCATGCAGGCTCCTCTTCGATATCAGTGTCTTCTCCACAGGAGCACTGCTTACACTCAGTATATTTATTGGGGAAGTACAGACCAGAGCAGGAAGGTGAGCTTAACTGAACACCACAGGTTACGCACTTTGTGGCTCCTCTTCACTATGCAAACCTCTCCCCTACCTTTTAATCTGAGACAGTTTGGTCTCTTCTGCTCGGATGTATTCTTTCAAAGACTGTACCAAGTCCTTCTCTGCATAAATCAGATCTGTCATTTGACCTGAAAACAGAATACAAGCAAGTAGTAATCACTCTCATGATGAGTTCCCCAGCAGCAAAGATCTCAGATGCTGCAGCCCCTTTAAGAAAAGAAATCAAAGGTGTGCACTTGGAGCTGGTAAGCTTTCGGACTTACTACACAAACAGGTCTGACATTGAAATGCTTCAAGAGGCTATTAAAGCCTCAACTTCATTTGTTCACATAGCCTTGCCTCTTTTTTTAACCATCTCCAAATTACTTGGCTATTGTAATTATATGCCAGGCAAACAAAATAAAGGTTTGACATTAATGAAGCTACTGCTCAAAGCAACAAGTCATCCAGATGCCCCAACATCTGTTCAGCACATGGACAGAAATGAGGTCAGCTTCTACTCCACCATTTGACTCACTTAAAATTACAGCTTTTCAGTATGGTATCTGTGGATACACAACCCACCATTAAGGAGGAACTTCAGACTGATGTTTATGGACTGACAAAGTCTCTCCTCATTAGCATTAGAGAGAACTGCCAGCATATTCATCTGAAGGATTGTGACAAACTTTGCTTTTCAAAGAGCAACACTGAAAGACCCAACAATTCAGCAACAGCTGAATTGAACAGCTTTCTTCAGTGTTCTAAAGTCTTTATTAGTGGGGCATAATTAAGCAGAAAGGCAGCAGGATGTTCTTTTCCCAGAGATAAGAAAGGTCCAGAAATGGGCAAATGGAAGGAGCAGGTGGTCCTTCACAGTAACCTTGCAGCCACGTAGGTAAGCATTCTTTACTCAACTCACAAGAACATGTGCTTCAAGCTCTACTGCTTTGCTCTGGCTGATAAATTCCATACATGAGTGCAAAACAAGCAGGAGTTTGGAGCTCTACCATTCAGAAGCACTGCTTCACTGAGCTCAAAGTTGAGGACAGCCAGATCCATTCACCTCTTATCTTTACAGGGGGATTCCACACTATTCCACAGGAAAGCATTAGACCAAGTCACAGCAGAAATCAGTCTGTGCCTACTTCTAGGATCTGCTACAGAAGCCACACAGTTTAATTGCAGCTTCAAGACAAGAACTAGAATTTCATCAAATCAGCCTATTTTCAAGACCTGCAGCAACATGAATTCATTGAGATTTACTGAAGCCTTACAAAACCAGGAAGGGTTTTGGAGGAGATTTTTCCTTCCTATTTTCAAATCCAATCCCAAATCTTATATAAAAGATATGCCACATTTTGTGAAATAATATTTCACATATTTATCACAGAAGTTCTCTGCACGAAATCAGCACCTCAGGATGAAGCTTTGTGCTGCATTCAAAACACCAGATGCACAGCTCTCAAGAAAACATAGATATTGTCTTCTTTTACTCAAAGACCTCAGAGAAACTCATACAGGTTAGTCATAATGTGCTGAGCTAACCAAACGTGAACAACTTCCAGTGATACAAAGCCTGCAGTGCAGAATAGCACCAAGGATGTCAAAGTGTTGCTCTCCCTGACGAAGCTGGTGTTTGATAGGGCCACACAAGGGCAGTCCTATGGTTCATCTGTAAAGTTTAACAGTTTTGGCTGTTGCATCGTTAGTTGCATCATAACATTGTGCATTGGTTGTTTCCATACCTATTGAAGTGAAGAACTCTGCCTCTGCATGCCAGATCAAGAAAACACTGGTAAAGAACACCAACTGCAGCCAGGGCTTCATCTTCTAGAAAGCTCAAGCCTGGAAAATAAGAGTTGTATCATCTTCCAGCAGCAATAAAGCCCCAATCAAATGGCCAGACACAGACATGCTAGGAAACAGTTATATAAAAACTGTCAAGAAACACAAATAGTGAGAAAGCCAAATAAATAACACATTTTGTAGAGTAGAAGTGGCAGCAAATGCTGGAAAACTTTAAAGTGAAAATTTCCAACTTGGATCATTCAAAATACATCATCCCAATGCTATGGGCTCTGGGCACAGCCCTTATGGCTTCTGGATTTCCAAGGCTGCTGCTCAGCAAGCAGAACAGCCACCAGAGGAGCTCTCCCAGTGTCCCCACATTAGAACAAAAGGAAGATGATAGAAGGAGCTGGCAGATGGATGGCACCTTCCCTTTCTCTGTTTTTCAAGAATGCAGTATGATGATAGGAGTCCCAGCCCTTAATCCAAGCTCCTTGGTACATGGATGCAAACAACAAGCACATAACACCACCACCATCACTGAGAACAGGGCATACAGCTCTGCCATGTATTACCACATTGCAAGGTATTTCTTACATTTTCCTTTTGATTGCCTTAAAAGTCTACGTGAGAAGTCAGAAATACCACAACTTTGCAAGCATGAGCAAGCAGAAAAACAGCATTTCAGACAGGGAATGCAGAAGACTTCTTACCATGCTGTTTCTCACCCCCCTGCAAACCACATATTCCCAAACGATTTGTTCAAGCTCGTTCAGAACTCACACATGGGTAACGTGAGAACCAAGCAGAGCTGAATGAACAGCACCACGCAGAGGTCTGCCAACACTGACAGCCACTATAAGTGATATAGCAGAAAGCACAGCGACTCGAGAGCACTTGGGAAGCACAACAGTTGGGATACATTCAGCCAGAAGCATCCATCTGCATGGGCTGTTCTTGTCTCACAGAGTGGTTTTTTGGACACACTACACAGAGTCTGGCAAAACAATTACCAGGGAGCTTTCCAGTTCAAACAACACAACTTCGCTTTCTCCCTGCACCTCCCCACCATGTTCACTCATGGCTCAGGATACCTGCCAAGAAGAACACTTACTACAGCTAGCAGCTTGTCTTTACAGCATATCTTTAACAGCTTTGCCATCCTACTCAGGTTTTCTTGAGTCAATAAACAGAAACCCTCTGTAAACACAAACCAGCTCTTGCTTGAAGCAGCAGACACCTGGCCGTAGGACTTCCAAACTGTTTGTATACATTCTTTTCACAGCTGTTATTCAGAAAACCAGCAAGAAATAATGAATTACAGGAGACTAAGAGTGATGTCATAACCACGGTTTTGGAAAGCACAAGTGCATGTGTACACACACACGTGTGCATGGCTTCCCCCCACACTACAGCCAGGCTGTCTGCTAACACAGAACAGAGCCAGAAGGGGCATTAGCACCTCCCACCTCAAAAACCAGGACCAAGAGGCCAGTAAAGCCTGTCTGCTTTCCTTGGTTGATAGAAGAACTTAGTTGCACAGAAATGCCTGAACTCTGTAGATAAGAGAGCTGCAGGACAAGCACTGCCTGCACTCCTGGCTTTTTTCAGCAGCCTCTTCAGCATGGTATGCCTGTTACCCAGACAGGTGAATTTAGGATTTCCTTTCATTCCAATGAGAACAGCTACACTGCTCTAAAACAGGTTTCAGAAGACTCACGCAGGTTCTGTAAGCTCAGTTTAGCCTAAGTTTAAAAACATGCAGGGGTCATGCAGGAACTGAGAGCAGGCAGCATAGGCTGTATTAAGGGCACAGATACCTTAAAGTGCTTTTGCTCCCTGGAGATGAGATGAGCACATGCACCAATGTCCAACCTATGGGGCTGCAACAAGAGGCCACTCCATGGACGCATAAAGCTGAACAGCTCCACATGCAGCAACACTTTGTGCTTTGCTCCTTCTCTCCTCTTGAAAGTATCCAGCCAGCAGCACCAGAAGCCAACCAAATGGATACTGTATAAACACTTTTCAGGAGTGTAAGCCCTCAATGAATCATTGCTCCCACTGGAAAGAGCACCGTCAGGCTGCAGCAAGCGCAGGCTGCAGGAAAAAGTTCTTGTAGACCAAATAAACCAGGATGGAATTTTTCTTCACAAGTTAGACTGAGTTCTTTATTAAACACACTAAAAACCCTCCAGAAGATACAAGAACATGGACCCAACCTATAGAAGTTATGTGCATGCCTACTGGGATTACCAGCTTCTCACCCACAAATCAGGGTTACAGACTGACTCTTCTTCTGTGCCTGCCTATGCTATTAAAGAGACCTGGAAAACCACTGCTAAAATAGTGCTTCCCCACTGCATCTAAATTTAACGTATCACGGGGCAGTGTAACAAGCAAGTCACTATTTCAAAGCCACTCAAGGCCACAGATGGGCTCTCAGTGCACACACAGCTGAGGTCCCTATGCCAGGCTCTGAAGAGCAGCCCATCTTCCAACAGCAATTGGAGGTTGGGCTCTTGGATGAGCAAAACGTTCTCCAAATGCCAGTGCTTTACACCCAGCATCTGTTACCTGCAGACACAGCACGAAGTGCTCCATCCCTCTCACTCCATGCAAGGCAAATAGCTTCAAAAGTGCTCAACAACTCACCATTAGTCCTGAGGGGTGCACACCAGGCTAATTGTATTTAAATACAGCAGTACAAACAAAAGCCTGCTAGATTCTTTTCATGCTTAAGGCCAGAGGATGGGCTGAATTGTAAATGGATTCAGGATTATTGTAAAGAGCTTCCCTTAATACTGCTATAAGAAAAGCAGCCATAAAAACACCCAGCTCAGAGCAGTGAGTCTCACAGCCAGCAGATCTTTGGCACACGATGGCAGCTCTACAGCTAATTAAAGTGATTAAATAGTGAGGAAATGAATTTTATCCCAGTAGAGCAAATCTTCACTGCTAGCAGACAATTGAGACATTATTCAGGGCCATAATCCATTACCCAGACGCAGAAGGTGCTCCAACATCCAACCACTCCCTTGACCTAAGAAGTATGAAATCAAGTTCTTGTCAGGGTCCCACTCAGAGGATTTGAACCTCACGCCAGGATTACTGACACCATCAGTCAGCATGCAGTTACCCTTCTAAAACAGCAGCTCCTGCTCACAGTGAGGGAGAGAAAAGGCATTGCTTCCTTACAATACATCACGTAGCTCCTCACAAGCAAGTTCTTTTCTCCCTTAAGGCTCACCTAATAATTCCTTCCCAATTCCTTCCTCCAGCATACTTTGAGTTCTCAGCTCAAAGCAGCTTATGCCTACATCACCACCTTTCTTGCCAAAGGGCTTAATGTGCATCTGAAAACAATTATAACTGCCTAACAAATAATACAACATGATCTCCTTGTACTTTTCATGACAAGCCAAAAGGAAGACAGGAAAAGCTGTTCATTTGCACGCGCTGACAAGGACACAGTATGTCTGTGCAAAACAGCACGCATCTTTTTAAAGGCTAAAATGCCTTGTGTTATCCTTACTGATATTATCCCAGAAAGCATAAGCATCTGGATCAGTTTCCACTTACTTAAACTATAGCAAAAAATATTTCTCCAGCACTGAAGAAGACAAGAAAACTCACACAGCACAGCAAATCTGCCTGCATCTCACTCCGCAGTGCACGCAAGCTCACCGTGCAGCTGGAGCCAGACTTCACACTGTTGGTGAACATATGAGCATGGCAACACACTCTTCTCCCACTGCAATATGCTTTCCAGCATTAAGATCCAGACTGCATTTTGCCATGCAAAGCCCATAGTTTTGGTATACATATTCGCCTTCCATTACACACACACACACAATCTCCATTCAGAAAGATATTTTTTTTTAAAGGACACATCTGTGGGCAGCAAGGTACTCCTTTCAACTGCTAACAACAACCGAATGAAGCTCAGATGTGCAGCAGGATCTCTGCTCAGCCTGGAACACGTACTCCCGACATACCCAGCATCCTTCATACAGAGAGCCATGCACAGAAATCAGGCCCAGGCAGAGGAAAGCAATCTATGTTTACAGCTCGCTTCTCTGGAAGCTTGCCAACATGCACAGCATGGGTATTATAAACAGACTCGATTCCCGACTTCAATCCAGAACCAACTCCTCGCATCGAGCAGTAAATCGCGCTCCCCCTGCTGTTACAGCCTGAAACGCACGACCGCGTTCATGGTTGTACTTCCTGCACTGAGCTACATTGAAACGGCAATCTCAGTAAGTTACAGCACAAGCAAAATTCTTGCCCCTTAGAGTCACAGCAACAGTAATTTACAGTTCTCATGTGGCATTATGAGAAATCAGAGCAGCAGTTAATGGTTTTGCTATATATCTACAACATACCTGTATTCCCAAAGGCCTCGATACCAGCAAGCTGCAGCACCCGCCTGGAGAAGATGGCTGTGTGACCTTCCAGAGCCGCTTCACCCTCACAAAGCGCTAAAAGTCAACGGACAGGAGGTTTGATTACACACTTATCTTCAGGGAAAGCCAACCTGGGGGAGACGCAGCCTTAGAGCAGCCATCACAGAGCTATGGGACCCCTGCAGCCCTACCACAGGTCACGGAGAAGCTCCCTGTGCCCCATACCCCAACAGCCCCCCCAAGGGAGCACCGACAGCCCGAGCGGGGAACTCAGAGCTCTTCTCCAATCTCCGTCACTCTGTCACATCTCCGCCGCTGCTCGGCACACAGCCGGGCCGGAGGGAAAGGATTTCTTTTCGAAAACGAATCCCAGCTGAAAGCGAAAAGAGCTGGGAGCGGAACAAGCGCGTCCCGGAACCCACGCAGAGCCGCAGCTCCGAGCAGCAGCCGGCACGGGCAGCAAAACGGAACAGCTGCCCTGCAGCTCTCACGCCCGCAGGGCACCGCCTCCGAAGCCGCCGCTACCAGGTGCCGCAGCCCGCAACGCCGCCTGCTTACAGGCAGCCGTTCTGGCTCTTTCCAGCCCCGCCGAGACGCGCCGGGTCGGCGGCAGAGGGAGCGCCGAGAGAGCCGCCCCGCACCGGCAGCCACCGGGGGGCCGAGAAACGCCGCGCCCGGCCGCGATGACCCCCCGCACCCCCCCGCCCGCGGCTCACCGCAGCCCCTCTCGCTGCTCCCCGGCCCGATCCCAATCCCGCTCCCCGCTGCCGGCCGCCCCGGCCCGCTCCTGGCCCCGCTGCTCTTGAGCCGCCGCCGCGCTCCGAGCCGCGCCCCCCGCTCCGCCCGCGCCGTAATGCCGCGAGTGGAAGCGCCGCGAGGGGCCGCTCAGGTCCGATCCGCTCAGCCCTACGGCGGCGGTGGGGCGGGAAGGGCCGAAGGCTGCATGGCACCCGTGGGGGCGATTCCCACCCGTGGGAGGCGGTCGCCAATTAAGAGCGTTCATTACCAATCGTCACCATGAACAGTGATCGCTGCCGAACGTCTTTACAGTTGTAACCAAAAATAACTCCTCCTAAATAATAGCTGGAATCAGAAACTCGATCAGATCTTAAAAGACACTGCAAACAAGCAACGTCCTGCTTTCTAGATTCAGTCCTCCATCATCGCTCTGCTCACTGAGCAGAAATGCAATGAAACGTGGCTGAAGAGCCAAGATTCGGGGATTTGGGGAGATGATTCCTACCAGAATCCAGAAAGAAAGGGAGGAATTAAGGAAACAAACAGTACACGGGTATGATTTCACCGAAGCTTTTAGCAGCTACTAAAATCACAAACCGTAACAAAAAGGCCCAGCTGCCTTGTCAGCGGGGCTTCCTACAGAGCTCCATACATCTCACATAGTACATGCTGCAAACTAACATTTATTTAGGCAAAGTGAATTTCCCTCCTCTGTTTACAAAGGATTGCATGGCTGTCAGTGACAGAAGCGGTCTGCAGGACTGCGACTGCACTGCAGATAGGGGAGCCCATAGCAGACTGTACAAACAGTGTCAGCCTCCAAAGATAACGCTGTGATTCACAGCCAGAGCTTTTAACCCATTTCTGACCCTTTTAAACTTCTTTTTATGGTGGATTTCTGCTGTTATGCCATGAGTACGTTGATTTCTTTTCTCTAGTTTAGTGGAAAGGACTTACAGTGTATTTGTAGGGCGAGCACAAGGATCTGGCTTTCCTCTTGCAAACAACCAGCTGTGCAGTCCTTCTGACTGTATATACAACTTGATCTAGCATTAGCACAAGGAGCCTGGACTCCGTAACGGTTCTACACCCCGTGTTGAGTTATTCTTGTAAAGTACCGTTTTTACTTTAGCTATATTTGCTTTGAAATCCTCTTAGAGGAAAATGCTGAGCTCGCAGGGATCCCCTGGCTGGGAGCAGGACGTGCATCAGGTTAAAAACAGCTCCTTTCTGCCTGCGCTGGAGCTGAGAACTGCCTGTATGAGTTCTGCCATCAGCCAAGGGTTTTTGGATTTTTGGATGCCCCCCCATCTCTCATGTGATGAGGTTTTCAGTCTGAGGCCTTAGCAGAGGAAATATTAAAATTATCTCTGAGTACTTACATAGTGCACTGTAGTATTTCCCATAAATCAGTGCACTGAGTCAGACCGGAGGAGGCAGGGATGTGTCTGGGTAACAGAACTCTTTCTGACCTCCGTGGGGCTCAGATTTCTCTCTGAAACAGTACTTTAAAAAGTACACATGTAGAAAGACCTCGTACACAAATAAACTCTAAATTTAGCTGTGTACTTATTGCACTTCCCTGGTTGTTTTTATGAATGAAAAAAAAAAAAAAAAACGACACTGGATCCTGGAGGAGCAGGAATAGGAGCCCAAAACACAGGAAGAACGCTGTGCAGCAGGACGTGACCAGCCTGATGTCACAAACGTCAGTGCAATTTACTCTTCTGGTGATGCACAGCGCACTGCTGCCATGAAGGACACACCATGTTGCTCCACTTATTCATGATGTGCTTCACTCAGTGTCTACTTGCTGGATTGCAGTGGCAGTGCATGACCCAGGTGCAGTGCTGCCCTGCGCAAATCCAGTGTGTTAAACACTGACAGGTCAGCACTGCCATGCACAGAGACATTGGTTGCACACCAACTGCTGCTCTGAACACTTTCTGAGCAGCCAAACTTGCAGCAGGATCCTCCTGGAAGGGGCAAATGGCCCCTCAGCCTCACACTGCTCAGTGCCGAGCCCTGATGCTGCTGAGCACACAGCAGTATTCAGGATCACTCTGGTTTGGGGATATACCAAAGTGCAGCCGCTGGAAGTGAAAGGATGGGGTTTGTTCCTTACCTCCTGCTGCAGATAAGCCAGACAAGAATGAGTGTGAGATAAACGCTCCCATGGAAAAGGGCTGTCATAGCAAGCAGCAGCTCCAGCTGTCTCTGTGCCAGGTGGGAGGTTGAAACTGGATTCATGGGGAGGTGAGGAGCACGGGGAGGAACCGACAGCTCGAATTCCTGCTCCACGTAATTATGGTGCAGTCGGGGCCGGTCTGGCAGTGCTCTGAGCCGTGCCCAGCTGCACGTTTACAGGGTCATTTAAACTACTGCACACATAGGAATCACCAGCAGTTGCCTGAGCAGCTCGTTTAAAAGTGCACCCACAGAGAGTTCAAAGGGTCCGACTACAGGGAAGGGAACAGCCGTAGCTGATCCTCCTGATGTTATTTGAAGTGACATTGCCCATATTTTATTTTCTAAACTGTCCTCCAAAAGTACTTGGGGATGTAGGGATGCAAACCGCAGCTCTGACTGAGCTCTGGTGAAGTGGGGACCGAGGCAACTTTATAAACCATGTCCTGGATATCCTGCTCCTAAATCTGCTGGTATACACTGAAGGAGGCCGACAGCACTGCAAAAGCACTGGGAAAAGAGCCCCCATCACCTACACTGCCCAAGGAGGCTGTGGATGCCCCATCCCTGCAGGCATTCAAGGCCAGGCTGGATGGGGCTCTAGGCAGCCTGGTCTGCTGGTTGGTGACCCTGCACACAGCAGGGGGTTGGAACCAGATGAGCATTGTGGTCCTTTTCAACCCAGGCCTTTCCATAGTTCTATAGCGTGCATGGGAGGCACCACTCGGGGTGAAACATTTTCTATATCACATCCATGTTTTAGGCTTCTTGATCAAAGCTCAGCTCCCTTCTCAGCAGATGAGTCAGCTCTCTGCTACGCCTGCACGGCTGGACGGTGAATCACCCCACAGCCCCTGCCTGCACCAAAGGAGAGTCCTGGCAGCCATCTGAACCCTCAGGAGCTCCTGGTGGGCTCAGCCTGGCACAGGCATCTTCCATCTCCATCACTGCGCCCTGAGGTGAGAGCAAGGAGGGATGCACCTGGATCCCGGGAAGCTCAGCTACTGAGCATCACCTGTCTGAGCTTTACGTTCAGTGCAGAGCAGCAATGCCACTGCTAACGGCTGAAAGAAAACAGAAGCCTTGATGGAACACAAGTGAACCACCAGAGCCTGGAAAGCAACCTGTGAGAGGTTTAACTGAGGGCTTTGTGGAGGAGAAGGGCGTTTTGACATAGAATAAAGCCCAGGAGGGAGCACAGAGGAGGAGGAGGAGGACTGTCCTGAGCCACGCAGACCTTCCTGCCTGCACATAGCCCTCGCATGAGGCCAGTGCTGAACAGCTCTGAGTCATTCCTTTGCAGACTGCAGCATAAATCAAATCCAGAAATAGGAAAGGCCAGTCGGTCACATCATTCCTTTTAGGTTTAGAGGAAGATGCAGTTAAGAAATGTGGGGAAAAGTCATTACAAGATCGCAAAAAGAAAAAAGAAAAACTCAACCTTTATTTTACTGAGGCTACTAATTAGTGGATGAAAAGCCTTAAAAAACCCAACAACATCTTGAAGCAGTCAGACGGGTACGGAACCTTTCTCTTGAGGCAGAGGGTGGTTTGCAGTCGCTGTGCTTTGCATGGCTGTCGTCCTGGTGTGTAGCTCCTGCCTGCGAGTTCAGTGCAGGAGCTGGGATGATTCTCCAGGAGGGTTCTCACAAAGAACGGAAGGGTCCCAGCACAGCACAGCACCAGGCTGCCCAACCCGAGGGGAAACCCAGCAGACCAAGAAGTGCTCACACAGAGGGCAGTTGGCTTTGTGCAAGCTCTGACAGTTCATCATCTCCCTCTGAGCTCCCCATCAGTGCTGCAGCAGCGCTGGCCCTCCTAGAGCAGCAGCGTCTGCCCCGCAAAATGCAGCAGTGCAGTGACTCCAAGAGCCCCAGAAATCCTTTTTGGCACGTCACTGGATTTTAAAAATATTTGGCTGGCTGGAACAGTAGATCTTTATTCCTTCCCAGGCAGCACAGTGTGCGCACTGTATGCTCAGCATAAGTAAACAACGAATGCCTGAGCGTGAACATTGGCATGGAGGTATTAAATGAAGCAGTGAGTTCCTTTCACTTCTGCTGGAGGGAGGAAGCACGTCGTCTGCATGTAGCCGTGCTCCAGCTCTGTGTGTAAACGCACACTGAGCACTTATTGGGGTTATTTCTGAGCAAACACTGCCGTGATGGGAGACGTGAGCTGTGACCCAGTGCTGCTTCAGGAGCCCAACTCTGCTCCCATGGTGGTTGCAGAGCACTGCCTGTGCTGGAAGCACCTTTAACTTCTCATTTTCTAAGCACATGTGAATAAACCCAAGAGCTTCAATCAGGATGGGGTGTGTTCTTCCTTTGTGTTACGAAATCACCAATTAAGAAGTGGCAGAAAGAGGTAAACAGGCAAAGGATTTAAGCTGCAATGGCAAGAAATGTAATTCCATAACATATAAGGAGATAACTGTAACATTTTAGCAGATTCAAGGTTTCTTTATGGGG